CAGTTATTACATTTATGCAAAGATTAATATAATTTTGAATAATTTTTTCATTAAAATTATATTCATTGGGTAATTCAACGTAATGGAATTTTTGTTCCCAAATAGTTATAGGATTATCACCACCTTTTTTTGGTAATTCTTTTAAAAATTTTTTATTTGGTCACAATTTTTTTTTTACTTTAAGTAGTTCATTTATTTTTTAATATTATTTTTTTCTTGTAAGAAATTACTATAAAATGCTTTTTATTTAAATCTATTAAGTTTATTGATAATTATTTATTTCAAATTTGTAATAACTTGATATTTTATTGATATTAAAAAAATTTCAAAAATAATTACTCATGAATTAGTTTTTATTACATTATTTGGTTTAAGAATGACATTTTTAAAATTATATGTTGAGGCAATTTTTTAACTAATAAGAAGTGTGTAAGAATATAATATCCGTCTTTGCGAATGGGTGCATCCTATTAACATTAGCTGAAGTAAATTTTTGAGTAGTTTTTTCAAAATATTTAGATGGGACAATGCCTCCTTGAATATAATTCGTATGAGCTTCCAAATCAACTAAAGCAGTAAGAGAAAATTATATACTCTTGATTAATAATCTGTTTTATTATTATAAACTATTTTTGCATGATAGCTTTTTGTGGAGAGTTTAACATTTCACTATTATTAAGTAAATTTATTTTATTTGTTTCTGGAGACGATTCTGCTTCAATTTCATCATTATTAATTTCAAGAGTTATTAAAGCCATTTCTTGTTGCAATATTTTTATTTTAAGAATGTCTTATTTAAGATTATTAATTTTATATTTTAAACATGATAAATTTGTTTGAGATGAGGTATATTTTTCAGACATATGAATATATGCATTTTTCATGCTAAAGATTGTGAATTCATCTAAAGCAGGTTTTTGTTTCTTTTCATTTAATATATTCAATTTTTTTTCTCTAGTTTTAGAATCAAAAGTAATAGATAACATTTTGATTAATTGATTGTTTTGTTCATCTGATAAAATGAATAAACCAAACATCTCAATAATAGATTTTTAATAATTATTTATCACTAAATTTATTACAACAAGATGGTCTTCATTATCAGAGTTAGAAGAGGCATAATTTTTTTTTTATGTTTGAATTTTCTGATTCAGAGAAGCTTAATAATACTTTAATTAAAGTTTGTTTTAAACATTCATCAATTTGTAATTTATTTAACCTTTTTCTTGATTTTTATTTATTAGAATAATACACTAATTTTTCACATCAACAACAATTAATGTGTTTGTCTGTACGTTTCTTTTTTTTTAATATTACTTGAAGGAGTATCTACTGTAGAAGTGCTTTCAAAAAAAATTTTATGACTTTTAAATTGTTTATTATGATGTAGGTTTTTTGTTTTTTTTTCTTTTATTAATTGTTTATGATTTTCTTTAAAAGGGTATTCTTCACAGAATTTATTTACAAAATTCTCCTAATTATTTTTTTCTAAACTACTTTCTTTTTTAAGTTGTTTATTTAGATTACTATCAGAACATAATTCAAAACATAATTCAAGTTCAGTTTGAATACAAACATTAATGATTTTTCTATAAGTAAAATGTTCATAAATGATGGCACGTGTCTTGATTTATGAGAGTTTTCTTAACACTTTCTACATATAAATTATGAAGTCCTATGAATTTTTGTTTACAATAATTATGATTAGTTTCAGGTAAATTCATTACCCTGCCAAGGAATACATCTTTATACCACTTAAATGTGTCAGTGTAGAAAATCTTAATTTTTGCAATAATCATCTAATTTATTCTTCTTTGTCTTCATATGTTTCAATAAAATGTTTTAAGATATTAATAACTAAATGATAAACAATTTCAGCATTCAAGAGAGTGACATTTTTTATTTTGTTTCACCTAAAAAATCTTGTTTTTGCTCTTCTATCATAAAATTATCCCACTATTCTTTAGGGATTCTGGTAAAGCACAAATAATCATTCTAGCTACCTTAGGAGCAGTATTTTGTCTAGACTATGTTGATATAGCATACATTAACATTCTATGGATGGTTTCTCTAATTTGTTATTCAGAGAATCCATCAAATTTTATTCATATACTTGAGAGACATTATATTTATGATGGTATTTAGAAGCTTCTTCTTCGTGGAGTGTATTCATTGGAATATGTTGATTATAATAATAATGATGTAATGAATTTATTGGGTATTTTAATTTATTAATTTCTAAAGATAGTTCAATTTGAAAAGTTCTAAAATAAATTTTAGGATCTTCTAATTCGTTTAGTTAGATTGATTTTTTCAAATTTTTAGAGGAAGATATATCATCTAAGGCTAATATATGTGCAGATTAAAATTTTTTTATTAATTTTAAAAATCCTGTTTACCTGGACCAAAATTATAACTGAACAAAGGATTTGGTTGAATAGCTAGATTTTTTATAATAATAAGTTTAATAATAGAATTTGTTTCTTTTATATGTTTTTTTAAATTAGGGATTTCATATTTTGTCAATTTTTTAATCAATTGTTGTATTTGATAGATTTTATTTTATAGTTGATTAAGATGATCTGAGATAATTTGAAACATGCTATTAGAGAAATTTAATTGTTTAGTAATTATAATGAATTCTTTTAATGCTTGAGTTTCAATTTTTATTTTTTTTGTAGACAATTAGTTATAAATTTTCATTGATTATATTAATACTTGATTTTGTAGAAGGATAAATAGAACTAACTCTTTCTTCTTGATTAATTTCCATGTTCTAATTATCAAATTAAGTTTTATATTTTTTATTTATTCTTTAATAAACCAATTAGCAAAGAGAATAGTAGTTTTTCCATTTTGATTTATGTATGTTATTACTATAGAATATGAATTAAAAAATTATTCTCTTTCATTTTCTTCTAATTTTTTTCTATCCCTTTCTCTGAAATCAGAATATTTAGAAGATAAATAATTATTGATAACAATGGCATGAGTTGTACTTCCTATTTTGTGATTCAGTTAAAACTAAAATTCATTTCTAAAAGGGTAGGAGAGGAATTATCTCTTACGTAATGTAAAATTTGATGTGAGTTAAATTGTACATTTTTATTTTTTCATTAATTATGTCTTCATTTACCCTTCTTTCAAAGATTGAGGCAAACATAATAATGTAATAATTCAAAATAAATTCGATACAATTAGTCTCTCTTGCACTCACTTTAATCCTTCAAAATAAGAATATAAACAACGATCATGATTAGAATTTTTAAATTTAAAAGTCATCAACACCTTTATCTCTTAATAAGCTTTTATTAGAATCATCAGTATAATGATTTATTTTCTTCATCATCCCATCCTCAATTATGCATATGTTCTCTCATTCTTACTAATCTTAAATCTTAATCACCTTCCTCTTATTTAACCAAATTAAATAATATGAATATTTATTAGATTCTTAAATAACCACTATGTTGATAAGAACAACTTCAATTACATTATCAGTTATATATTGTATGGGCAAGTGAGAAATGTTTATTAGAGTTTTTTACTTATCTCAAGGAATACCTTAGACTTAATTGCATGTCTGACCAAAACTAAGACGAGGCGAGCCTTCAGGCGGACCTTATATTATGTGAGACATAAAGCTCATGTAGTACCAAAACAATATGAGAGCAATGCAACGGTTATTATATATCAATTAGGCAATCTGAGCATCTAAAAGTTAAAAGAAAAAAAAATGCGTAAAAAATAAAACTGAAATTAACTCTTCCATGCCACGTTACTGTGATAACAAAAATAACACGATTGGTCCATTCTTTTATTATAATAAGAAAGGTAATTGGTCATGTTGACTCCTGGCTTCATATCCATGTCAGATGAGAGATAATAGACAATTTGATGTGTTAGAAACTATGGATCTAGTTATAATTTAAAAATTAGTCGATATGGCATGACATGGGATTTTGATATTGTCTCCATTTAAGTCTCCACAAAATGTATCTTATTTTTAGGAAGATTTACATAGCCACTCAATTCCTATGTATTTATATATCTAACATCGAAACTTCAATTTTTGCATATATGATGCATTACCTATGCATGAAATGGTATTTTTCACTTTTAAAATGTTAAAATAGTGATTTTGTCTGTGATATGAAAGATTTGGGTGGTATAAAAGTAAAAAGTAATGTTTGTGTTAATATTGTACACAGGAATTAGGTGGTATCTTTGGAAATGCTCCTTTTTTTATTATTTTCATGCAATGATTATACTAGACTCCTTTGCACATTCACAAATTCTTACCCTGCTTAGTATGTAACCAAAACAGAACATTGTGAATGGCTTATCTAAATTACCAGTGACTAAGAAACAGCCTGATAACTTTGATTTTTGGCACAGGAAACCAAATTCTAAATTTGGAACAATTGAAGAGCAACCATTGCAAAAAACATGATGCCACGATTTCATATTAAAAATGGAAGTTTCATTAACTTTAAAGAATATTACCAGCTGTTTCATTTTGTTATTTTGATATTAGAAAACATCTTGTAAAAGCATGTCGTAAACTTAGCTATGTTAAGGATGCATTAATCAAAGGAATTTACCTTGGAGAACACTAGCCAAATATAAGTCTAGCAAAAAAGGGATGTTACCATTCACACTAATAATTTTGGGGATTTCATAATTGTTAGAACAGAAAACAATGTTCTATTTCTTTTACTTTTCTAAAGTCTTAATCCACAAGAGGTTGTCTGTTAACAGATTTAAGTGAGATATAATTTTTAATTTAAATCTACCAGACAGAAAAAAGGTTAAATTTTAAATAGTCGTTAAGTTGTGTTCAATCCCGGATTTACTAAATCATGAAGTTGACAATATTTGATAAATCCGGATTTACAAAATTTTAAAGCTTTTACCACACACCACCTCAGTTCTCTATAACTTGGTATTCTCCTAATCGACTAAGCCATCGTTCTTCTCTTCTAATAAATTGTTTCCAGGCTCTAGGCCCAGAGGGCATTATTCTTGGTACAGCGGGGACACACTCTATTGGTGATTATAACACCATTGAGTTCATTGGCACCGATCGGCCGGGCCTCCTTTCTGAAATCTTCGCCGTGCTTGCGAATCTTCACTGTAATGTCCTAGCTGCTGAGGTCTGGACTCATAACATGAGAGTTGCTTGTGTTTTTTACATCAACGACGAGGCTACGTCGCAAGCTGTGAATGATCTTAAACATTTGTCGAAGATGGAGGAGCAGCTTAAGAATTTGCTCCGTGCACGCGGAGACGATGATCGAGGAGCCCGCACTACTTTCAGTATGAGCTCCATTCATTTGGGTCGTCGTCTCCACCAATTAATGTTTGCTAATAAAGATTATGAAAGTGATGGCAAAGAAGAGGAGAAATCTGTGAAAACTATGAAACCAGTGATTACAATTGATCGTTGTGAGGATAAAGGGTATTCCGTGGTGAATGTACGGTGCAAGGATAGGTCAAAATTGTTATTTGACATTGTTTGCACTCTGACAGACATGCAACTTGTTGTTTTTCATGCCTCAGTTTCATCTGATGGCCTATACGCAATGCAGGTACATGCTTCTTTACAAATTCAAATAATTTTCATTCGTTAATACCTGCTACGGATTCTGTTTCATGTTGTAAACATTTTTGTCATGATTGGACGAAGCTTTTAGAAAATTGTTCGAATATGAGGTCATGAGTTATTTTATTTTCAAGAAGAGTAGGGAAGGAGAAGAAACATGGAAGAACACTTTTGCTACTGCGGGTTGCCTACAAAGACAAAGCAACAATCAAGCTCAGTATATACTGACAATATATATATATATATATATAGGAGAGTAAACTGCCAAAATAGTCCCTCAACTGTTTATATGGGATTATTTTAGTCCCAAAGCCTATAAAAGTGTTACATCAATGCCCATACTCATTAAATTAAGGGAAATTTACACACGTAGCACATACTTCTTATATATTTACATATCTCACACGTAAACTTACATATTTATGTATAGCATTTTGGTGTTTTAACCCTATGCATGAAAAGATATATTTCACTTTTTAAAAAGTGATAATAGTTTTATATTTTATGTGATATTAAAGATTTGAGTGTTTATGTGTATAAATATGTAAAGTCTAGGTGTGAGATGTGTAAGGACATAAGAATTGTGTGCTATATAAGTAAATGCCCCCTAAACTAAATCTGAAATCGTCCTCTGTAGGAATTATTTCAGCTCATATTAGAAGTGTTTGGGACTAAGTTAACAATTATATAGACTCTAGGACTAAAATGACCCCCTACAAAGAGTCAGGGGGCTATTCTTTTGACACTTTCTCTTTATATATAATTTTTTTGTGGTTTAATCCATGGCAGAGTTTCGTGAGACTCGGTCAATTACTACTTTATTTTCTTAACATGCCTTTATCAAAATATCTTCACGGCCCTTTACACAGAGGCATTGCGAATAGTGCAAATAAACATAACATACATCAATCTTGAAAATCTATCATGTGAATCTGATTCCACTATTCATACTTCTATGCTTTGTATTAGTTTTTCCTTCTACACTGTATTTCATGCTGTATTCAGTTTCTCTTCCACGTTATATATTATTGATCCCTAGTTTTTGTTTTGGTCTATTTGGTTGCTAAGGGAAGAATCTGGAAATTATCTTCCATTTAAAACTGATTTATTGCGGTTCTTCGTTCTCAGGAAAATTATGATATCTTAAAACTATTTTCTAGATGGTGGAAGAGCTGAGTTTTCATTTCTGCATTAATCAATAATTTCAATTTTCAGTGTGGAGGCATATGTTTTTGGACCACAATGAGGTATTTCAAAGTTTCTCTCTGACCTAAATGCGGGGGGAAAGGTTTTTTTTAATCAAGGAATAGCTATTGGTGATATCTTTTTAGCTGTCCCGTGTGCTTATTACCAAATAGACCAAAATAAATAAATAAATAAATAAATAAATAAAAACTTTAATTAGTATTTAGATTAAGAAACAATTGTCTCGCTCATACTAAAAAGCTCTTCTTAATGTTGACATTACAAAAATTTATTACTTAAATGTTCCTTTTAAATATTTTTAAAGTTCACAAGTAAAAATTTATTCCATTTCATTCATCAGAAATTATTAAAGAAGTAAAGATTAATTTTATTATCGCTTTTCGTCTTTTTGTCATCATGTTCTCATTGCTGCTTCAAATTCGCAAAAGAATGATTTTTTATTGTTTTCACCCCCCAAAATTATCTTATTGTGATGTGCTCAAACGTTTGATGATAATTGCCTCGTCTAAGGCATGTTTTCGTTTAAGTGCAAGCATATTGAATTGTTTAATGAACTCTTGCAATTATGAAGAATTATAAGTTTATGCATAAAATGCTTAATTGAGACCACATTTTTTAGATAATAATTTAATCTGTAGGAGCTATACATTCGTCACAAAGATGGCTGCATCCTTGATACGGCTGAGGAAAAAGAAATGGTGGTGAAGTGCCTTGAAGCAGCAATACTACGCAGAGTATCAGAGGTAGGTAAATTTTTCATTTTTGCGGGACAAGTCGTTACTATTTTAAAATAGAAGCTTGTCTGTTTTGAATAAATTCTTTTTGAAAATAATACAACGCAGAGTATGACAGGTGGTAAAATTTTCATTTTTTAGGGACATAGTAGTTACTATTATAAGAGAGAAGATATATATATATCTTAAATCCAATTTTGTACTTCTCATTTCATAAAGTAATGGTTTATGGATCAAACTTCAATCTCCAAAATGCTTAGAATGGAAGACAATCGATTCGCTCGGTTTTTAAAAAGCATGTTAATTCAAGATTGCTTATCTTATTTATTCTTAACATTGCTTTACGAGGAGTGAAGTGTCAAAATAATCCTCTGACTATTTACATGAGATTATTTTAGTATCAGATTATATAAAAATGTTAAATTAGTCCCTAGACTCTTTTAATATAATAGGACCTAAAATAATCCTCATTGAGAATAACGAGAACTATTTTAGACCCCATTAAAAGCCCAAGAATAAATTGATATTTTTATAGACACCCTAAAACTAACGTAGCACTGCAAAATGATAAGGGACCACTTTGCACTTTTTTACATAGTAATTGCAATTATGTGAAACCTAGGCTCTGTTTAACACAATTGTGTTTGTCTTGTTGTCCTGTGTTATTTGATATGAAAAAAGTTATAATTACTCAAAAGTGATAGCCAACTTCAATATATATGTTTCCTCGTATGAAACCATGAAGGACGAACATATGTAGCACCATCACGCTTTCTTCAGTACAATTCAAATTATAATATTTCACATCTTCGAAAAGTTACTAATCAAAACCATAGTTCTCAACACATCAAACAAATGCAAACTATCGGGAGCATGTGGCTTAATCAATTCTTGGTTGATTTTAACATTAACAAAATAATGATAAACCAAGATCATGACATAGAATTCATATTTAATAACACCAAAATTTCTAAATGATGGAATTTATTGTTATACATAGGAGAAAAGTGTCAAAATGATCATCTCAATTTTCGTCTAATCCCATCATTATAAGAATGTTAACTTGGTTCTGAGACTGTCGAAATAATCCATATTAAAGACTTTCAGATAAATTGGGGCTAGTTTGAAGACTAATTAGGCACGTTTATAAAGTACGGGACTAAGATAGCCCTATATAATAGCCAGGGGATTATTTTGACTCCTTTATATATATCATATCATAATATCATCCTATACAACCCAGATTCTTTCCTAAACAGTGCTGACATGGAAAAAATATAGGCTTTCTTTCAGAAACATTCATTATTTCTTCAACCTGTGAAATATTATTGGCAGGGATTCAGCTTAGAAATATGTGGGAGGGATAGAGTGGGATTGTTATCTGATGTGACAAGAGTTCTAAGAGAGCAAGGACTTACTGTAACAAGAGCTGATGTAACCACAGTTGGGGAGGAAGCCATGAATGTGTTCTATGTAAAGGATGCTTCAGGAAATCCATTGGAGATGAAGATGATAGAGGCGCTACGCCGAGAGATTGGCCAAACTGTGAGGCTTAACTTGAAGAGAGTGCCTGCCGATGTGAAAACCGCTGAGTCATCTCGATTGTTCAAGACTAGTTTCTCATTTGGGAGTTTGCTGGGGAGGTTTCTGCATCCAACTTAATTAATGGTATGGATCTCTTAATTCAGTCATGTTGTTGTGAGAAGATGAAAGGGATATTAATTTATCACATCGTGTTTATAGGACTACTACTGACCTGTGAAATGCATTTTAGATACATATGTAAAATGCTTCTAGCTTTGTCATTTAGTGCAGCCATAATATGTGGTGGTAAGGGCATCAGATGTTGAAATTATATATGTTCTTCAGCATCCCCATGATACTGCTGGGGCATTTACTCGATGATTCGAAATTTGAATCTCTCTTATACATATATATATATATATATA